GCATTATGACAATCTTCAATTGTATAGAAACAAAAAATATCTGTTCCTACACTACTATTTACTGTTCTATTAATGCGGTGGCATAGCATTTTTCTCAAATGCAATCTTGTTTAAATCAATCATGTTTGCAAGTATGTTTTATATTATATATATTTAAGAAATAATATATCCCAAACAGTGATTTTATCGCTCAATAACATCACTGTTTGGAGTTCGGATGCGAGGAATTATATCACGAGGGTGTAGCCCGAGTGATATAATGATGCACATTCGAACGACAAATAGTGATGTTATCATTAAGCGATAAAATCACTGATTTGGATATATTATTTCGATTCTAACACGACATCAACAAATAAATGTTGCCGTACTTGATAGTTAAGCAAATTTGCGCCTGATTTGTTTCCGTACTTATTTATAGCGCGTCAGATTTTTAGTGGTTACGTCATGTGTATAATGATTACGTCACATGTCTAAATATAGAATGTCAAACTGTGCATCTGTTGCATAATAACACACACTTTCTGTTCTTCTATTTTCAATAGGGTAAATGCGGGTCATGTTAGAATATATTATAACCCATAATGCATGGTATTTATTATATATATTTATCAAATTGAAAAAAGGTGGTTAAAAATTGAGGTTGAAACTTTCTAAGCCGAAATGTCCAGGAGGTGTAAAGTCCTGAAACATATAGATTTAGTCCTTGTCTGGAAAATATGTTGGGCTGCCGGTCTGCAATGTATGTTTTCCTTTATTCAAAACGGTCATGTATTAATTTCGTTCGCCTGTATGTAAATGATTTGATAATTTGATCGCTGATTTGCTAAAGTTACTACCATTCGTTTTATTTTGTTTACGACAGAAGTGGTGTCGAAGTAATTATTATCTATCTAAGAGATTCCTGGTATAAAGCAAAGTATTTTTTCAGAAATGTGCATAAAGACGACCCTGTTAAATCATTTTTAATGCATGTATTAGCGCTTGATGGCTTATAATTTCAATAATCATTTGTTTCGGCTGCCCGACAAAAAATAATATTGTGCCAGGTTGAGTGCATTCGCGGATTGATATCATTACAGCTCTAACCTGGGACATAAGATATTAAAGTTAGTTAACATAAACCTGTTTAAAATACATGAATGGCTAGCTATCATTTATTTTAATCAAATCACTAAACGATCTAGCTAAAGTTGTTAAAATTTATATGATAAGGATATTTTATTAACGTTTAGAAACGTTTTCTATTTTGCGTGCGTTTTAGCGTGCGTATATCGTTAAGCGTATTTCGTTTTGCGTGCGTCTGCGTGTTTCGTTTCATAAAGCGTGCGTGTAACGTGCGTTCGTATAGCATGTAACGTGCGTGCGTTTTTTCCGGAACGTGTGTTTTGCGTGTAAACTGGAACATTCACCCTACTGTATCACATACACAAAATAAAGACCGTTTAAAGAGAAATAAGAGTAGTTTTTCATTTACGCGCCTATAGTATAACGCTAACATTTGGCGCGTCTTTACACAATGTTTGTATTATTTTAATGACGTCACTTCAAATTATATGCACGGATGTGCAATACCATATTTACTGAGTGGCAAAATAGGCACCGGTGTGTGATAAAGCATATTAATACATATTAAGCGCATGTCAATAAATTTCAATTTTAAGTGATATGAAAAATATTTTCTGTTGTGCTGTCTTTGTAAATCCAATAACTTAACATCACAACCAGTTTCCTTATTTTCCTCATTTTTTCCTCTCGATTACAGTTTCAGACCTAAAATAAAATTGCGTTCTTAATATTTATATATACTCATATATTGTAATGCCCTAGAAATTTTACCTTTTTTAGTGATTTCACTGGATTTCAGTATTGTTTATTTCTACTTTCACTTTCGTTTTGAGAAGCTTTTACTGGCGACAACACAGTAAATATTGCGGTGTCCCAATGAAACATACAGGACAGCAACTTAAATCTACGTATTGTGCCAGCAATTTAATCATTCTTGATTCTGGAAGCTTTTCCTTTTATGTTATCCATTTCCCTTAATGTTATCCGTGGTAGAATCCTGTGTTTTTAATCTGTTTTCGTGACTTCTGTCAAAATAGTTAATTCCTTTATTTCACACTCAAGATTATATAGTTCGATTGTTTATGATGCAGCCTCACTTAATATATAGATTTGCCTCATAAATCCATCTGAATTTAATTGTTAGCACTGTATATTTATGAAACATTGCAATGCATTTTCAATGTCGGCCATGTTGGACTATTACGTAGAAATTACGTAGTGAACGCAAGGGATAGTTCTTAATCCGATTATGCATAAAAAGGAACACGTTACCCTAACTATTTTACTTTCAATATTAGCGCATGATAGCTTATAAATATTTCTTATATGAAATTAGGCAAAGCCTATGAACGGGGAAGTCGTTAAAAAATTCCTTTCATTCTTTCCGTTTTAAAGGTGTCATTCCGTATTACATGCACCGCTTCCGTTTTTACTCGGAACACTCTACGGGTACTGCTTCTGTACGGGAACTGCTCGCATGCCAGTACAATTATTATTAATCCGAAAAGTTGAGATTTGTTCCGTTATCGGAATACCCCGCCTGTTATCATTGAGTTACATTGTAAATGGTGGCGCCCGACTAGAACTGACACTGAAAATTTCATTGATAGGTATAGAATTAATTGTTTTTTATTTGATTTTCTTTTAAATAATCACGTGTAGTCTATAGCCGGGCCCGGTCTTTGACTTCCCCGTAAAAATCATTTGTTGAGGCTGTGACAAAAATTAATTTCGGTGCTAGGTTGAGTGCATTTCAGTTCTTACATAAACTCGTTTAAAATACATTTCTACCATGATATATATGATAATCAAAATTTATCACTAAACGATCTACATGTAGCTAAAGTTGTTAAAAACTTAAAGTGATTACGATATTTTAATAAAGGTTTAGAAACGTTTTCATTTTGCGTGCGTTTTAGCGTGCGTATATCGTTTAGCATATTTCGTTTAGCGTATATCGTTTTGCGTGCGTCTGCGTATTTCGTTTCTTTTTGCGTGCGTATAACGTGCGTTCGTATAGCGTGTATCGTGCGTTCACCCTACTGTATAATAATGCTCAAATGTAGATTTATCAATATTGAAAGATCCAAAAAGCATTTCTTGTTAAGATTTACATTTCAAATAAATAAAGGGAGGTAATTAGAAATTTCTTTTCTATAAAGTCTGAGTCAAAGTTTTAATTAAGAAATGAATGCATATACATGTGTCTTTTAATGATTACATATGAGCCGCGTCACGACAAAACCAACATAGTGGGTTTGGGACCAGCATGGATCCAGACCAGCCTGCACATCCGCGCAGTCTGATCAGGATCCATGCTGTTCGCTTACCAACTCTATTACAAAAGGAGAAACTGACAGAGAACAACATGATCAGACTGGTCTGGATCCATGCTGGTTGCAAACACTCTATGGTGGTCATGAGGCGGCTCATATAATGTGGACAAATATTTGCAGTGCATATTTTACATACTCTTTGAAAGTTTTTTAAAAAATTTTTTAGGGAACATAATTAAATACATACTGTTTTATAAAATTTTATTTTAAAGGGGGTAGCAACCTTAAATTTCAACAAAAACAAAGGGTCTTTAAATTGTAGAATTTTTTTTTGAACAAAAAAAGCAAAACTCAAAAATGGTATTTTAAACAAATTTAAAATATTTTAAACCCCGTAAACTTTTTGTTAAAAATAAATTTCCCTTTTCTTAAGTTTTCCCATAAAATTTTTTTTTGCCCCACAAAAATGGGGTGCAAAAGGGGTTTTCCCTTGTCCGTCCCCTCGTCCCAAAAAACTTTTGAACGCAACTCCTCTTTAACCCGGTTTGGGAATTTTCCCTTTAAAATTTTAGGGGTGAAAAAAACCTTTTAAAGTGTAGATGGTAAATAAAGGAAGGAATTTTTCGGGTGCCGGGCCCAAATTTTTAAAAGAATTAAAGGCCCCTTTTTTGATTTTTTTCACTATATTTCTATGTAAAATTTTGTGAACACAACTCCTCTTAAACCGGATTGCAGATTTTGCTTTAACTTCCAGGGATGAACAACTTAATGTGTAGATTGTAGTAAAGGAACAAATTTTTGTTGCGACCAAATTTAACAGAATTATGGCCCTTTGTTGATTTTTTAACTATATACCATATAGATAGAAATTTTGTGAACGCAACTCCTTTTAAACCAGACAGCAGATTTTGCTTAAACTTCCAGGGATGAACAACTTTAATGGAAGTAAAGGAAGGAATTTTTGCTGCGACCAAATTTAAAAGAATTTTGGCCCTTTGTTGATTTTTTCACTATATATCATATATATGTTGTCAGTGGGGGCATCCGTGTCCTTTGGACACAGTTCTAGTTTATTATTAAATAGATCTACATGATTGTATAATACATGTAATACTATGATTCTAATAAAATATTAAATTTTAACTGATGTTTTTTAACATGTGACCCCCTTCAAAAATTTCATTTATTTTAGTTTCATTCATTGTTTTCTTGTTCAGGACACATGTGCTTTGTCTTGGAGACCCTATGCCACTTGTCATGAAAATTGCACAATGATAATCCATATGAACACATTTGTGGATGTTTCTATATGTATATACAAAATATTTACTTTTTCATGTTAAATGTTGAATTATGCTTAAACTGATACTACATGTAGGCAGCATGGACAATACCTTGCACTTTTCAGTTCCATCCATACACAGGCTTAGTCAAAACATTTCCAAATTTGCTGTTTGGGGCCATTTTAGCTATTTATTTCTTTCTAACAGACTGACTTTCTCAAACAAGAGGGTTACAGTACAATGGTTGTTAGCGTTTAGTGTGACAGTATGTACCTAAACATCAAGTTAAGTTTTTAACTATAGAAATATTTTACATATGGTTAGCACATCTTTATAATATGTGTGTTGGAAAAAGTATAAAAAAGCGCCTGAATAAATTTTAAGATGCTTCCTTTATTGGAGTCTGTTTTTCAATTAATATTTGCAAGTCTTGAAATCTGTTCTCTGCCAGAGCTTCTCTTATTGTCTTGAAGAATTGAAAATAGTGGTGAAAATTATGTCTGAAATAAAAAGACAAGTAAAACAAACTTAACTTCCATCATTGAGACAAGTAAAAACAAAATAAACTTCCCTCATAATGACCCATCTGTAAGTCAGGGAAATAAAAGGACAACATTGTAAAAACTAGTCTTATGAATGGATATCAACAGCACATACATGGATATTAATAAAAAAAATTGACATATAAACAAATTACTAAAAGATATGTGTACATGTATTATTTATTTTAATATATTATATAGAATAGGTTAAAAACATGTGTTGTCAATGGCTGAGTGGCTAAGGTCATCAGTGTCAAACCACTTGCCCCTTCAATACTGTGGGTTCAAGTCCCACCAGGGACCATGGAACGTCAGTGGTTCTACTCAAGTATCCACTCATGACTGAAATAATGCATGGAGGGGCACATCATTGTCATAATAGAAATTTAAACCCCCTACAGTAATGATATTTGCTGCACAGAAAATGGTGGGTCAATTACACAAATTGATCAGGTTACAGGTCAAACCTGAAACTTTTGTTCCCTTAACTACATAAATTTTATCATAGATTAATAAAAGAAACCCCTTTAGTTACAGTATAACCAAGTTTGTATAGTATCCCTGATAAGTAAATAACAATTAACATACTATGGTACTAAACACTTACATCATTAATAATGTTGATGCCAGAAGTTCAGATGTATTTAGTAAATGATTTATGTAAGCCTTGGTAAAATTTTCACATGCATAGCATTTACAGTCTGCCAACAGGGGAGAGAAGTCCTCCACATATCTGAAATATATAATAAACAGGGGAGATAATTAACAACATATTTCAAGTACATAATAAGCAAGGGAGAGAAATCATCAACATATCTGAAATATATAATAAACAGGGGAGATAATTAACAACATATTTCAAGTACATAATAAGCAAGGGAGAGCAATCATCAATATATCTGAAATATATAATAAACAGGGGAGACAATCAACCACATATTTCAAGTACACGATAAGCAAGGGAGAAAAATCATCTACATATCTGGGGTGCGTTTCATAAAAGAATCTTACTGCTACAACTTTCAATCGTGTGTAACTAAAGACTGGGAGATGTAAACTTTTAGTCAAAGGGTTCAGGGAAAGCTACAGACTGAATTTGTAGCTTTAAATGAGGTATATCCTTTCAGGCAATCTCAGCACCTGTGAAATTAACACGATGATTTTGAAATTTAAAAGTTGTATATAGTAATTCATGATTCTAGCAAATGACAAACTTTAAAATCAAGCAACTTACCTTTGATCATTGACATTTATTGACAGACTGGTTGGCATGCTACAGTCCTGTTCCTCTGGGTTATATTTGTAATCATACTTGAACACAAGAGCATGCCCCCTCTCCGTCACCACATAAGGATATCTTTAATAAGTTAAGGTATTTAACCAGCTGAATTTGTAAAATGGATTTGCCCAGTTTTGAAATTGAAACAATCTAAGTTTTTCAATATTAAAATACAAACATGATATTGTCAGTATACAGTCTGCTCAGATTGTATACAGTCTGCTCAGATTGAACAAATGTGCTGGCTGTCCTCGTGTTATACTAGGCCAATCACTTTTGGTTCCAGAAGTCAAGATGTTCAAATTTTGTATTCATGTAACTACATCAATTAAATCAACTTCAATGTCAACATTTCTGACCTAAGATAATTATTTATTTTTCCAACTGACAAAGGTATTAAGTTTACCAGTCCAATTGACAAAGGTATTGAGTTTACCAATTGACAAAGAAATTTAGTTTCTCAATTAGCATAGATATAATATGATTGATAAAGGTATTCCATTTAACAATTGAAATAGATATTTAGTTTGCCAATAAACATAGATATTTAGTTTACCAATTGAAAAAGATATTTAGTTTAACAATTTAAATACATGTAGATATTTAGGTTACCAATTGACAAAGGTATTCAGTTCACCAATTGACATAGATATTTAGTCTACCAATTGACAAAGGTGCTCATTTTACCGATTGACAAAGATATTTAGTTTGCCAATAAAGATAGATATTCAGTTTACAATGTTTCAATTGATTCCTTATTGACAAAGATATTTAACTTATTGACACAATTACATATTTAGTTTACCAATTGACACACATATTCAGTTACCTAATAATTAACACAGATATTTAGTTTACCTATTGTAATAGATATTTAGCTTACCAATTATTTTACCAATTGACAGAGATTTTTAGTTTACCAATTGACTTACTAAGAGATATTTAGAATAATAATTTATATTGATATTAAGTTTACCAACTGACAAAATATTTAGTTTTCCTATTTACATATATACTATCATTTGGCTCAGACATTTTATATACAAATGGACTTAGCTATGCAGGTTACTATAATTGATAAACATAATTAGTTTACATACTGAAAAATATATTTAGTGTCCAAATGGACATAGATATTCGGTTAATCAATATACATACTGCATTGGAAAGCATATGATTCTCAATATTTTTCATTTTAATCGTGTAATTTGAAGTTTGGTTTTGAAAATAAAGAGAAAAAGTTCTTTTAGTTTTGGTTTGCTATTACGTTACCATCGATGATATGGTCATTAGTGGTTAGAATCACTGACCTTTTGTAAGCTAGCTGGATAGCTCTCTCATATGCACGGGTTAGTAGAATTTCAACCAAAAGCTGAAGCGAGAGGCCATATGGAGGTTTGATTTCAGTAACCTTTGACCTTTCGGCCATAGAGGACACATTAAAAGAAAGAAGTAAGGAAAATGCAAACAAATAGATCACCTCAGTAAGTAGCTTCATGTTTTAACTTTGAAAAGTAAAATTAAAACCAGATCAAATTGTCCATTCTGGCATTAACATATACAGTATAATAAAAGGATATGATGAGTCAAACATGTCAATGCCAAGCCCTATAGCTTTAAGTACAGTATAATAAAAGGATATGATGAGTCAAACATGTCAATGCCAAGCCCTATAGCTTTAAGTACAGCATCTGGTCTCCATACACTCTGCATCAGTCGTGGTTTCTCCTCCGGTAATAATTTCTAAAAGCAAATAATATATTGTATGTTAATTTTGTTAACCATATCTGTGTAATTCTTTTACGTTTAATATACTGACTTAACATATAGCATCTAACTTAAAATTAGAAAAATTATTTCCGATGTTGTAATCTTTTACACTAACTCAACATAAAAATACTAATTTAACAAGAACGTTAGCGTAAAATTCTTGCTTAATGTAAAGCAAGAAGCTTAAAACAAACATATTTTTATGCTATACAACTTACTATACACCAATTGTTTTGCATACATTAAACAAGTCACTTAACATACTGATTTAACATAACCACTTATTTTGCATTATTTCACTTAATTTACATTACACCACTTAATCAACAAAACTCCACTTACTTGACATATTACACAGCTTTCTTTCCACACACCACTTAACATAAATCACTTACTTTATATATACTACCTTCTTTACATTAAACATCTAACTTACAATAGTATAACTAAGTTATGTTGTTTAAGCTTCTTGCTTTACATTCATTGAGAATTTAGCCACACAGCCACTGATGCCATTAAAATTGCCATGTTAAAAATGGAAAACTTACAATTATTTCAGATATAAGATCTGCAGGCCCGGACAAGTCAAAATCTTCTGCATTTGGTCCCATTGCATGAAAACCCTCAAGAGCAAAACCTGAAATAAAAGGTATATGAGCCATGTCATGAAAAAACAACATAGTGCGTTTGCAACCAACATGGATCCGCTTTCGCTTGTAAAATACAGTTGACACTCAATAAGTCAAAATCGCTTTACTCAAAATTCCGCGATAGTCGAAGAATTTCTAAAGTCCCGTCAAATTTCCTTCTTTATCTTTGTATTTTAACTCCGCTTAGGTCAAATTTTGACTTACCGAGACTCTTGTTTAGTCGAAAAGAAAATTTGGTCCCGTCAATTAAAGTCTAACATATATTCATCTCAATTAGTCGAAGTGTGAAAACAGCCGACTGGTCAAAGGTCGGCGACATCAAGTTGTCACTCGTGATTCACACGTTTCATAGTTATTTTAATTGCCGGTCATCATGTATTATTAGCATGTCGTGAAAGTGGCTTTAATCGGTTTCAGGACTTAATTGGTTTTAACAGTTAGATAAGTAAATTAAGATTTAATTAATTTAATTGTACCAGCCTAGGTATTGATTTGTGTTTTCAACGTAAATGACATTTTTATAATTAATTTTCCGTCATATTGCATACATTTATATGCACTTCCGGTTCACGATAGTTGCTTCTTTCGTTTTCATCCGATGATCAATTTACTTCAAATATTAGATATATTGTTGTTGAAATAAATGTGTTATTGTGCTTTTATTGTAATGAATTATCATGAGTGCGTATTAAAAACATGTGAATTACTGATGAATACTGACAACTTGCATTTATGTCATTGCTACGAATGCTTGTGTTTATATTTCACTATTAATTTACATGTATTAAATTTTGAATAATATATTTTTGTACATTTAAAATTTGTATTTGTAAGTGATTTACAGTCATTTCAACGGTTAAATATTGCAGCATTACCGCTATCAACAATAACAAACCTACTTCTTTGCACATTCAATCAGGTACATGTATATACATGTACGAATATCAACGTAATGGCGGCAGATCCACGTTACTCGAATTCCGTTTCTCTCGAAGTAAAATGCCCAGTCCCCTGAATTTCGAGTTATCGAGAGTCAGCTGTAGTAATTTTTTTTTCTATTGACTTTCTAGCTTGTTAAAGTAATAGATTAAGTGAAAAACCAAAACACTATTTCCGACATAATCTTTACAGATTAATAAAGAAGCTTCTAGGCTTTCAAATATTTGAAGAATTCTGTGTCCAGGGCAGGTGATCTAAGGTCTGAAAAATTGCACTTTAGTCTTTCTGTCAAAGTGGATGCTTCAATGTGAAAAAAAAAATAAGGGCAATAATTAAAAGATCATAAAGTACAGGGTACCAGTTATTGTGCACTGCACTTCTTCTCAATGAGATCTAACATACTATGAAGTTTAAATTCCATAGCTTGTATAGTTTAGGAGAAATGGTCCCTACAAAAGTACAGTATAAAAATTAACTAAGGGCAATAATTCAAAAAATAAGAAGAGCAGAGTACCCATTCTTGTGCATTGCACTTTGGGACATTGAAAGAAGCGTGCATACAAAGTTTTGAGTCAATCAGGCTTATAGTGATTGAGTTTTGAATCAGAAGGTGTGCTCTTTTTAATTATATACCTTCAACATTCCTGGCAACAGTTTCTCGGGTACATCTCTGTCTCTCTTTAAGATCGTAACCGCCGACGATGCTTCCAAACATTACTGACTTCCCCAGTCTCTGTATATAAACATTAAATAAATAATATCCTCAATCCCCCAAATGTTTATGTAACTTATTAGATAAAAAATAATAATATTTAAGAAGTAACAAACTCCATATTTCATATATTTTCCTTCTGTTAAATTTAAATATTAAAAATATGGAGTTTGTTACATGTATTTCTAAGATTTTATCAGTCATTCAATATAAGATTTTGAATTTACTGGCCCGAATTCCAGTTTTGAATTTATTCTACTATTATTTAACAAAATTTTCTTAAAATTTACACTTGCCCAAAACTAATTTTCACTGGCTATGGGCCACAGGGCCAGTGCCCAATTCATTGACTGTTTAATTACTTCAACACTGCACAAGGAACATTTATCATGTCTTAATATCTAATTTGTTATATACAATGTAAAAAGACCATGCTTGTTTGCAGTGAAATATGGAATATATTTTACTAAGAAGTATAAATTTTTAAAAATATTTTCAAGAGCACAAAATGAAAGTGAGATTATGTTTAACATTTAATTTGTTTTTAATATTTTTTTTCCTATTTCAAACACATTTTTGGCAATATCTCAGCAGTTGGTCCACCTAACCGACTTTGCTTGATAACTATCCAGTAATTACCAATGTCTCCACAAATGACTGACAACACCCACATTTTAATACATTTTTGGCAATGGGTGTAGGACAAAAGCTCTCCCAGACAAAAGCCCTCTCGTCCAAAAATGACAAGACAGACAAAAAGCCCTCCCATGAAAATGACTAGGCAGACAAAAGCCCTCCCATGAAAATAACAGGGCAGACAAAAGCCCTCCCGCAGCAAAAACATATATGTGTGTTGAATACTAATAGTTCTTTCTTTTCAATGCACACCACATATTAAAATTGTAGTCATGCATATTTTTTTTTCCACTGACATAAGCGTGTTTGTATTTAACAATTTAATTGTGACTTTGTTTTTTACTGACATTCATGTAAAAAGTTAGCTCATGAAACAATTCAGAAAGGTATATTCTGAATGAAAGGTGGTTCTAGCTCATACACAAACTTAGGCCATTTGAAAACAACAACAAATATATGTGACAATTGTAATATGCATTGGAAAAAAAACAAGGTATTTAACATACATATATATTTATGTTACAGGAAGGCTTTTGACCCCCTTGTTAATTTCACGGAAAGGGGATTATGGTTATGGTCTCAGTAAAAACACACAACCAGTCATTTGCTAAATTTCAGTCAGTAATCATACCACATCTGATTTAAAAGAAAATTCATTTATTTAATTTTACTCATGAAATATGGTGCTATATCAGTCAGATATATTTCATATTTGTAAAAAATTAATATGAAATATAAAAGGGGACGGAGTCAAAACTCGTATTTATTTTAAGGGACTTCTTTCTTTTCACTCAACATGATAAAATGATTTTACGATTATGATTTTTTACGAGCCGGGACGGCATTTTATCATGTTTCGTGAATATATTCCATATTTCACTCAAACGAAAAAAAATCCTTTTAGTATTTAAACATTTTTAAAATATGTGAACTACTTACCTTTGACTTGTTTATCTTATCCAGTACATCATCTAAAAAGTTCAGGGTTCTATCTACAGCCTTGGTTGCCCTTTTTCTTGTGCTAGTTTTATCTGTGTCGCCATCAGACATACACTGGAATATATCTGGTAAGATAGCCTCCTGTAGCTTCACAAACCCATCAGTGTCTAACTACAAAACAAAATAGGTACTGAGGGAAGTGGTGACCCAGATATGACAAACCATTTAGCCTGCATGTTAATATCTTCAGCTGATTCAAATGCTGTAGTTTACTTCCAATAAACAGTCTGTCAATACGTAGTAGCAAATGTATTTAGATTTTAAATGCATGTGTAACTTTGCCTTTTCCAAGCCATTGCAGGAAAAACTAACTTGCACAGTTTGGGAAATTTTGCATCATAAAATTATTTAATTGAAATAAATATCTGGTACCTTTTGAGACCTCCTCATGCATTTTTGGCAAATTATTTTGAACTATGCAAAATTGTTTAAATTCCAATCAATGCAGATATTATCAAAGCATAAAAATATTAAAATTTGACAATAACATCTGAATTAACTCCAGCAATTTTTTTAAGAATTTCAGTTCAATTGGTAATTCTTTTTAAAGATTGGGGAAAAAATAAGCATATTTAGACTGCTATTGGGAATGTTCCCTAACCTATGTAACCAGTCAGACCAAAGACACCAGTGTCTCGAAAACCTTTAACCAAATTTCAGCCCAAAAAGGACCCCCCAGTCCTGATAAACCAGTGACTGTTTTAAACCCTTTACCTAAAAGTGCCCCCCAAGTTTCACTGGGCTCTCAATAGAAATACTGTCTGAAACCCTAGTAACAGTAGCCCCAAGTTACCAGTTTTGTAAAAACCCAAAGTGACTGTCGAAACCTTGCACCACTACAAAACCAAGATCACCCCCCTCTAAAATAAACCAGTCTGCCCAAAAAAAACCAAGTCAGACCAAAATCCCCCATCTTTGAAAAACCCCTGCCCTTAACCTTTTTTTACCAGTGCAGACCAAGATAAATCCATCTCAAAGTTAAACCCCATGACTGCCGAAACCAAATTTTAACTATTTCCCAGCCCAAGATCACTAGCCGATAGAACCCCAGTGACGTCGAAAACCTAGGTAAAATTGAGCCCCAAATTACCATTTTTGATAAAACCAGGGGACTGTCTGGAACCCCTTTTGAAACCATTTGCAGCCCCCAAGGGTGACCGGGGTCCTCTGATTGGGGAACCATGACCCCCCGAAACCCTTTTTGTAACTGGGGCGGGGAAAAGGGAATTTCCCAAATCTCTGATAGAACCGTGCCCCTTTTAACCTATTTAAAAAAGGTGCGGACCGGGGAAATCACCATTTCTCTAATAAACCCCATTTTGACTGTCTGAACCCCTATGAAAAAACCGGGTGAGAAAAGATTCCCACTTTTAAACCAAAGTATTTTTGTAAACCATGAAACCCACTACAGACCAAGGGAAACCCAACCAGTCTCTAAAAAAAGTGGCTTGTCAAAAACCATGTAACGGGGCAGACCAAATTTCCCCCAATTCTCTAATAGAACCATTTGACGGGTCTGTAACCTATTTACCAGTGCATGCCCCAAAAAACATATTTCTTATAAAACCAGTTCCTTTTAAACCTACTTTAAAACCAGGGGGCCAACCCCAAAAATAGAGGGCCTCCTTTTGGGGGGGGGGTTAGACCCATGAACTTCAAAACCCAGTTCCTCTTTTGGCTGGGTTTTTGACCCCCCGGGAGATCTTTTTAGTTTAGCGGCGAGGAAGGTAGCCCAAAATCGGGTTTTAAATCTCAGGAAGAAAAAGTTAGAAACACCCCCCTATATAAACTAAAAATAACTGTTAAAAAAGGGCCCGTAAAATGAAGAAAAACAAACAAAAAAAACAACCCGCCCCAAGGGATCACCATCTCTGATAGAACCAGTGGCTGTCGTAACCTATGAAAAACCATTTCCCAAAACCAAGATCCCCATTTTTGATAAAACCATTTGTCTGCTGTAACCAAAGGGGAACCATAAAACCCAAAAGTTTAAACCAGTCCTGTTTAAAACCAGGCTTCTGAAACCTTTTAACCCCCAGTAAGCCCAACAAAAAAAACCCTTGGGGGGGTCCTGAAAAAACCGGGTTCTGCTTAACCTATGAAACCCATGAACCCCAAAACCTTTTCACCAAAACTCGAAGAACCCAGGCTTCTTAACCTATTAACTTTTATAAACCAAAAATCACAATTTCCTCTAAAAGAACATGACTGTCGGAAAACCTATTTCCCCTAAAACCCAAAAGAAACCAAGTCCTCCCAGAAAACCATGACGGTCTTTTAAAAACCCATGAAAAACCATTCCCAGCCCAAAATTTTTCACCCGCCCTCTAAAAACCCAAATGTCTTTTTTAAACCTATTAACCATAAAAACCCCAAAATATCTAATCCCCAAATTTCTCTGATAGAATCAGTGACTTTTCGTAACCTATTTTTACCAGTACAAAACCAATATCGATCACCTTTCCTGATAGAACCGTGACTGTCTGTAACCAAATGTTCCCACTACATACCAAGACACCTTTTCTCTGATAAACAGGACTGCTTAACCAAGAAAACCAGTACCAACCAAAGATCATCAGCCTTATAAAACCAGTGTCGTACATAAATTTATAAACCATAAAAGAACCAAAATTCTATCACCAGTCTTATAGAATAAATGACTGTTTTTAAACCTATTTTCCCCGAAACAGCCCAAATATCTGATCACCATCTTTTGAAAAGAACCAGTGACTGTCTTAACCTATTAACCACAACATACCAAGACTTTCGAAAACCAATTAACCATCCCAGACCAAGATTTAATCTTGATAAAAACCAGTAAACGAAAACCAAAGAAACCAGTGCAACCAAGACCCCCATCTCTGATGGGACCCCAGTGACTGTCTGTAACCTATGTAAATTACGGGCCCAAGATACCCAGCTCTGATAGAACCAGTGACTTCTGAAACCCAAAAGAAACCCATTTACAAAACCAAGTTTCATAAACTCTGATAAACCGGGGACTGCCCGGGAAAAACCTATGAACCACTAAAAGCCCCAAAGATCACCAAATTTTCTGTTTAAACCATGACTGTCAAACCCTTTAATTAACCATTAACAACCAAATCACAGCCCTTTTAAAAAATTTTTGACTGTCGGGGGGGGGGGGGGGGGGGGGGGGGTTAACCCCTATTAACCCCCTCCCAGCCCAAGATCACCACTTTTCTGAAAAAACCGGGACGGGCCCTTAAACCCTATGAAACCCCAATACGCCCAAAAGACACCAACTCTGATAAAACCAGTGACCCCTTTAAACCCTATTAAAAGTACAACCAAGATAAACCAACTCTATAAACCCCAGTGATTTCCCTTTAAAACCAGTAACTGGGTGCAGACCAAATCCCCCAGTCTCTGATAAAACCCAATAAACGGGTTTTAAAACCTATGTAACCACTCCCAAAAACCAAAACCCACCCCCTCTCTGATAAACCCATGACTGTTTTAACCATGAAACCAAAAAACCCAAAAAGATCCCAAAACTCTGAAAAACCCCATGACTGCCGAAACCCCTAAAAAACTTTTTCCAACCCAAAAATACCACCTTAAATAAACCCAAATTTCTGCCCTGAAAAACCTATTTAACCAGAAACAAACCAAGTTTCACAAGTCTCGGGATAAAAACCAGTTCTGCCCTTTTAACTATTTAGATCATTTACAAATAAAATTTAAAAGACTCCCAGGGGGTTTCCAGCCCCCCAATCTTTGAGGGCATGAGATTTGAATTAGCGCCCTACCAATGAGACCGACCCCACATGAAATAATCTCATTTTTTAAATTTCATTTCAAATTTTTACTTTTGTCACAAAAAAATACTTTTTAAAAAAAATTTAAATATTAAAGGGTAAAACCCCAACCCTTTCATCTTGCCCCCTTTTACCCCAAAGTCCAATCCCGTTTTCCATGTACCAAAAGGTCCCTTTTAACTGGGGTCTGTGTTAGATTATTAGAAAAAATTTTTATCATTTTTATATGTAAACTTTTGCCTTTCCCACCCTTGTAACCGTCAATCTTTCTTCAAAACTGTGCCTTGAATCAAAAAATTTTAAAGTTTTAAGTTTTTAATTTTTCCACTTTGTTGAGCGGTTTTAAAATTTAAACTTTTAAAAACCCCAAGTTTGTCAAAAAAATACCCCCCATTTAAAAAAATGATTACCTCCCTTTTTAAACAAAAAAAATTTTTTTATTAAAAACGGGCCAAAAGTTAACAAAAAAATGATTGACTAAAAAAAGCTATAAGCTTTTTAAAAGCACCTTTATTCTTTCCAAACCCAAAAAACAGACTGAGCAGAAATTAATTTCTTCTAAACAGCTTGCCCCTGACAGGGTTTAAAACCAAACACAGCAATTATCCTAAAGGAAACTACCCTTGATTTTGGACAACCGTGCCCTTTTTCTTGGCTGGTTTAAAATCTATAAAATTTACAGACTAAATCTAAATCTTAAAAAACTGACCATAAAAATTTTTGGGGTATAAGTTTAATGTTTTTTATACCCAGCCCAATATAAAAAAAGATTTTTTTTATAAAACTTAATTTACTTTACAGTTTAAAAAAACTTATTTTGGTTTTTTCGCTTTAAATAGCCCATTATATGGGAAAAACCTTTTGTGGACAACCCATATAGAAAAAAAAGTTTTTTTCCCTGCGGATAAAAAGGTATTTTTTTAAAGTGAAAATTTTATATCACTTTTAAAGAAAAATTTTAAGGGAATAATGAAAATTTTGATGTAAAAGGGGTAAAATGTACTACAGGGGTTTTTAAACTATGTGAAGTCCTTACTTTGGGGAATAATATATTGTTGTTGAAAGAGGTACAGACTAAAAAGGGTTAAACTAATTGTGAATTTTAATTTTCGGAAAAATAAATATTTTTTGTTGTAAAAAAAGGTATGTACTAAAAAGGTTTAAATTTAAATAGAAAAAGGTAAACCTTTAGGAAAAAATTTGAACATTTTTGTTGTAAAAGTTATTTTCTATAAATTTAAAACTTATCATATTCCAAAATTTTAAAGGGAACCCAATGAGACATTTGTAAAGAGAAATTTTTACTAAAAAGTAAACCCTTTGGAAGTC